TGCCTCCAGCAGACTGTCTACCTCTCCCCCCAGTTCCAATGATCTCCTTCATCCCAAGCCACACTTCCCTCATGTTGTTTTTTTGGAGTTTGTCTTCCAACTTCCTCCTGTAGGACTCCTTACACTCCCTAACTTTGTCCCTCAATTCATGTTGAACGATCCTCAACTGCTCTTTATTTCCCAACTTAAACACTCTCTTCTTAGTGTTAAGTAATGCCTTCAGTTCACTAGTGATCCATGGTTTATTATTAGGAAAACAGCGAACAGTCCATGAGTCCTGACTTTTTCTACTGTACTCTCCCTGTATTCTCGTTTCTCTCACAGGTTCCCCTCATTGTGAGCGTTGTCCATCTGAGTTCTGGTCCAATGTTGAACGAACTGCCTGCATCCCTAGCCAACTGGACTTCCTTTCATTTAATGAAACACTGGGCATTACTCTGACTACAGCAGCTGTGTTTGGTGCTGCAGTGACAACAGCTGTGTTTGTGGTGTTTCTTTCCTACCGTCAAACACCTATGGTAAGAACCCAAAATATTGTTATATATACATATATAAAACAGGATCATCCAGAGGTGACCAGTGTTTGGGAATAAATAACAACCACCCTGCAGATGTCTCACTTAATCCTGTTACACAGCAAGTAAAATAAAACCAACAACACTGCGTGCTGTTGTTGCTGTTAAGTTGCAGTTTCTTCATACACACAAGTTTCACACAGACATACCTTTGTTACTACCATGGAGATATACATTGTCTCTGTTTTTGCATTTTATTAGACAGTTTGATGAGCTTTGAAAGCAGCTGTAGGTGTAGGTCTGGCAGTGATTACTATATAATTTTATTATATTATTTTAAAAACAGTGAAATGTATTTAAATTTACGTGTTGTGGATTTTACACACTGGATGCAACTGTAACTGCTGCTGGTTACAGGACCAGAGACTTTCTGTCTTCTATGTGTAAAAGATGATCAGTGATATTATCAGACTGCTGAGTGAATATTTATGTGCAGTACTTCTACATAAATAGTTTTGCCACTGTCAGCCTTGGAATGTAGTGCATAACTGGCAGGAGAAGAAGATAACAGGGAGATAATCCTTCCTCTCATATATTTCCATGTCTTGTCATCACTAACATCAGTCAGTGATGTTTCTGTCCTGCTGCTTAAAGTGGGTGAAAGCAGCTGGTTCGATTGGACATAACTAAAGCCAGCCCTAACTCCACCTGCTCACCATGTATTCCTCCCTCTAATAATGTATTATGCCTCTCCTCCAGAATGCGCCACGTAACACCTGGTTGTGCATAGAAGTGCACTATGTCTGTGGTCACCATAACTGGAGAACGTTGTTGAACATGCCCATATATACCTTGCACCTGGAGTTTAGACACATGTTTAGTGCTGTGCCCTGTTGCAGGAAAATTAAGCCCAGTGACTTCTCATTTTAGGTGCGAGCCAACAACTCAGAACTGAGCTTCCTGCTTCTTCTGTCACTGAAGCTCTGCTTCCTCTGCTCACTGGTGTTCATTGGTCGTCCGTCAGTCTGGACTTGTCGGCTCCAGCAGGCAGCATTTGGGATCAGCTTTGGTCTTTGTGTTTCCTGCCTCCAAGTTAAAACCATAGTTGTTCTGGCAGCATTCCACTCAGCTCAGCCTGGTGCTGAAGCCTTGATTAGGTGGTTTGGTCCAGGTCAACAGAGGGGAAGTGTCTGTTTTCTTACTTGTATACAGGTACTACATATGTTTGTTTTCTTTTTGAAATATTTACATTAACTTTACTATGTTTTACATTAATCAACTATGTTTTATTTTTATCCAGATTATCATCTGTGTCACGTGGCTGTCTCTTAGTCCCCCTGTGCCTCAACATGATATGGGTTTCAAAGGGTCAAAGGTCACTTTGGAATGTGCCCTGACCTCCGTGGTGGGCTTCTCACTGGTTCTGGGGTACATTGGTCTGTTGGCCTGTACCTGCCTCATACTAGCCTTTCTTGCACGAAAACTCCCTGACAACTTCAATGAGGCCAAACTGATCACCTTCAGCATGCTGATCTTCTGTGCAGTTTGGGTGGCCTTTGTCCCTGCTTATGTTAGCTCTCCTGGGAAGTACACTGTTGCCGTAGAGATTTTTGCAATCCTGGCCTCTAGCTATGGTTTACTGTTCTGTATTTTTGCTCCAAAATGTTTCATCATCCTTCTGAGGCCTGAGAGAAACACTAAGAAACACCTGATGGCCAGGTAGCACGGATACATTAAGACCATATAAAAAAAAACCCTTTTCCAGAAATGTTGGGCCATTTTCCAAAACTAAAAATCTGTAATTTGTTCATTCTCCTGAACCCTTATTTAACTAACAAATGTACAAAAAAAGGTTTGCAGTGTTTTCACTGACCAACTTAATTGCATTTTGTAAATGTAAATACATTTGCAAACAAATTTTATGCCTGAAAGACACTCAACCAAACACTGTAAAGTCACGTGAAGCACACGCAGAATGATGCCTGGCATTGTCTTGCTGAAATATCTGCAGACTGCCCAGGAAAAGACATTGCCTTAATGGCAGTGTATGTTTCTCTAAAATCCAAACATACACGTCTACCACCTTCACATTTCCCATGCCATGGACACTGATGGTCCCCCATACCATCAATGCTGGCTTTTGCTGATAACAAACTGGATGGTCTGTTTCATCTTTGGCACAGAGAACCCAAATCCTTCATGCATTATAGAATCTCAGGTTGCAATCCTGGATCCAGCAGTGGACTGTGTTAACTGAAAATGGTTTTCCAAAGTATTCCTAAGCCCATGTGACTATATTCCTCATGGCAGCGTCATGGTTTCTCATGCAGTGCCTCCTGAGGGCTTGAAGGTCACACATATTCAGTGTGGTTGTTGATTTTTGCCTTTGGTCTTTATGCACTGAGATTTCCACAAATTCCCTGAATCTTTTCACAATATATTGTATTGTAGATGTTAAAGACCTAAATTGTTTGCAATCTTGCATTGAGAAATGTTCATTTTGAACTGATTGACAGTTTTCTCAAGTTCAAGTGCTAAGCCATGACCCATTCTTGATTGCAAAGACTGAGCCACTGATGGATGCTCCTGTAGCAGAAATGACAACACTTATGAACATGAATATTAAAATTTTATATTCAGTACCTCTCTCCCCATGCTTGCGTGGGTTCTCTCCGGGTACTCCGGCTTCCTCCCACAGTCCAAAGGCATGCACTTTAGGTTGATTGGTGTCTCTAAATTGCCCATAGGCGCATAGGAGTGTGTGTGCGTGTGTGTGGTTGTTTGTCTATGTGTTAGCCCTGCGATGGATTGGCGACCTGTCCAGGGTGTACCCCGCCTTCGCCCGATTGCCGGCTGGGATGGCTCCGCCCCCTCCCCCCCTTCCCGCAACCCCGTTCAGGGACTAAGCGGTAGAAAATGAATGAATGAATGAATTCAATACCTCATTATATTAGGGCACCAGATAATTGAGTGCTATCACACTGTAATTAAGTAGTTAACAAGAGTAAGAAGAGTGAGACATTAATCTTTTAAGTCTGCCTTATGAATTAGTATACCTTACCCAATTTATGCTGTACATACTTTCCTGTACCATGACTGGTATGTTTGAGATACACATTTCAAACAACTGTAGTGTGGAATAACACGTTTAAACAAAATTTTAAGCAACACAGTTTGACATGAAACTCATATGTGGACAAGCCCAAGATGATACTCTTATGTGAAGAGAAAATGAACTGTTAACTTTACAAAAGACAAAAGAAATCAATTATCAGCACACAATCATTAAAATAAAAAATCAAAACACAATTTCCTATCTAATCTTTTGAGCAGTACTGAAGAAATTAGGCTATTAAGACTAACATAGGTCTATGGTGGTGGTTGATTTATCAACCATCTTAAACAACAGGCAGAATTACCCGACTTCATGGAACATTTCTGTATCACTTCTATTTATACATTTTGGTTCACATTAATGTAGCTTCAAGTTTGGAATCATTTCTCCTGTTATGAGAAACTTTAAGGAAGAAGTCTTTGTGGTAGCTAGTTAATATGTTCAGACATCATCAGCTTGATTAAAAATAATATTACAAAAGGTCTTCTTAGTCATCATAATGAAATTTGACTGAAATAAAGGTGTGGTTATGCAGACAAAAGAAACCCTGAAGGAATGGCCCTGTTGGTGTTTTTTACATTTATCTGTTTATCTATCTATCTATTATAAGTTTATTTTCTGTAAATCACTGTGGATAAATTAATCAGCTCCATTTTAAAGATGAAATTATAACTCTGTTGGGATATATTGGGTCACTGCCCTCTAGGTAAATACTCGAAACTGTCTGTATCACACTAATAATTTTGTTATTATATTGCCCTAATCTTTCAGAGGAGTGATTTGGTGCAGTGTCATTCTGTTTACTATCATCCCATCATGGGCTTTCCAGATGTTATAAATACCCAAATCAACATCTACTGTTTGTCGGGCAGAGCATGAGGAGGACATGCCTTGTTAGTTGTTAGTGCAGATTGTTTCTTTCTGTTGGAATATACATTTTGTCATTAAAAGATTTTACAGGTGGAACTGTTACTACTGCTTTTACTTTTCTCCTGTTAGTTTAAGAAGGATTTAACTGAATTTGATCATTTAATTTCAGGACCCGTTAATAGTTATTGGTATTTAATTAATTTCACCTCTTAATTTTGCATGTTGAGCAAATGAGATGCCAGGTTATAGGTTCCAGAAGAGCTGCATCCATGTCTATTTTTTCCTGGTTCTTCACTCTGTGGCACTCATCAGCCTCGTCCCTGCTCCTTGTGGGGCTTGTGGGCAGACAGCTGGGGCTCAGGGTGGGACTGCAGGTGGCTCAGACTGCGACGTGTTCTCGGTGGAGTACACCGAGTGACCAGGGTCTGTTCCAGCATGGAGATGTAGTTATTGGTGGGCTTTTTAATATTTATAACAAGCCTCCAGCTTTAGATCATGACTTCACCCAGCTGCCACAGTACAAATCCTGCACTGGGTAAAACTCCGAACTGCATTGCTTACCATGCACACTCTATAATGCATATAGTTATATTTAAAGTGTTACAGCTATAGCTTTTTTATTCCCTTTTTAGTTAGATATTTGTGGCTCTTTCATGTTCACATATGCACTTTCTTCTTAAAATTATTTTATTATAATTGCTGATGGATGACACAGCATCCATTCTGTATTACCTACAGAAATGACAAATTATTATAAATTAGTAGTTCACAGTTATATCAGCATTTTGAATAATATCTGACTGGTTTCTTTCAATTCTTCTCTCCTGCGGTCTCAGTTTAGAAAACCTTCCATTACAGTATGTATATGCTATGGTGTTTGCCCTGGAGGAAATCAATCACAGTACAACACTGCTACCAGGTGTGAAGTTGGGCTACCATATTCATGACAGCTGTGCCTTTCCCCTGTGGGCTGTGCAGGCAGCACTGTCAGTAGTTGGAGGAAACAGCACCAGCTGTAACTCAGCAGCCCTGCCAGAGTATTCTGCTGGGTATGGAGAGGAAATTGGCAAAAGCAGAGGTACTAAATCTACAGTATCAAAATATGTAAAATGTGAAAGTAAGTACACTGGTGACAGTGTGACTACTGTAATACTGTGGTTGAAATAGAACCAAGCATTATTTTTACAGAACAAATGACTTTCATTGTATTTTATAATGTCATTAGGTGATCAGCCTGTTCCTTTGATCATTGGCGGTGACTCATCTTTCACAGCCCAGATACTCGCCACAGTCCTGGGGCCGCTCTCAGTTCCTTTAGTAAGTTTACTAAATGTACCTTCAAATAAAATGAAATAAAAATTTATTTAGAGAGCACTTAAAAAAACAATGTTTATTGATCAAAGAACTTCACATAAATATCATAAAAAAATAATTTAAAAACAGGATCATTGTGGGAGATATAAAGAAAAAATCAATAAAACACAGAGGACATAAAACTATTTCCCATCAAGAAAATAGTGCCATAGAAAATAGATGTCATGGAGTGATTTAAAAGCTACCAGTTTTGTGGGAGATTTAATTTTAGAGGGTAAAGTTTTCTGTTACAATGACAGCAGCATGATCTCCCCAGCTCTTGTGCCTGGAGCTTGGTACAGTACCTCTAATAAAGATTGATTCAGTGACCTAAGTGCCACCTCAGTATTTAACCAAGCTATACATGTGCCAGTCCATTTGAAGATGTAAAGCCAAAAATCTAAAACTTAAAATCAATTCTAAAACAGACTGGCAGTAAAGAGATGCCAGAATAGGTGTTATATGGTTGTATATTTACACATACTTGTCCAGAGATGAGCTGAAGCTTTTCAGACCATCTGAAGGTGAGAGAGGGATGATTAAATAGCTCTAAAATACCATGAAATGCAGTAGTCAACAAGCCTCATGTAACCCCAACCACAAGTTTATTAATTTCAAATTCTGTTAAGGGGTGTATGTGACACCTCATCAGAGATACTTGATTGGACGGAGCCCCAGCCCAAACTTTAGATCTTGTCCTCCAGGCACCTTGGTGCATGTGATCTGGGACTGTCCAAAGGTACAATGCTTTTGGCAAGAGACAATAAGCACTATCTCTACGCTGAAAAAAGTGAACTTCCCTGTGGAACTGGCACTTCACTTCCTTAATGACTCCTCCAAACTAGTTGTCGTTTAAGCAAATTTTTAGATATGGATAGCTATTGTTCAATTCTGGATTCCCCCACACAGTTTGTCAAAATGGTCAAGACATAACACGCTATTAGTTCTAGATGGACACTATAAGTTTAGTGAATGACTTATCAGTATAGGCTTATGGACCCATTTGATTGTGCCCCCTGTTGTTGTCAACTTTTTTTTGCTTTGTTTTGTTTTGTTTTACTATGACATCCACTCAGAGTGAGGGGTGGGAGGTGGGTCTGTGTTTGTTTTGTGTTCGTATGTTCAAAATCTTAATAAACACTAAATTACAAAATAAAAAATTAAATAAAATTGTAATTGGACAAGTTAGCTGTTAGAATGTTAGAATGTGTGTTAGCAAATCAATGGGGTTATCTCAGGCAGAATCTAAAACTGTACCTCTGGGTTCTTTGCCTTGGCGGTAGTGCATCCTACCCCACAGCTGGTTTTGAAGATTTTCAGTTGTCAAAAAGGTACCATCACACAATACCGAATCAATGGAAGGAGATGACTTGTATAATGTATATTTATTTCTGATTTTGTCTTTTAGATGAGCTACGCAGCTAGCTGCTCCTGTCTAAGTGACAGACACCAGTTTCCTGACTTCTTCAGGACCATACCCAGTGATATTTACCAAGCCTGGGCCATTGCACGGCTTGTCATGCATTTCAATTGGACCTGGATTGGAGCCGTGGTATCAAATAATAATTACGGCCTAACAGCAATAAAGGTATTTCCATTTGTTTTTATTTTTGTTGACAAAAATGTTAAAACATCTATATAAGATATATAATATGCAAACGAATACAGCATTTAATAATTCTTGTAACCCTTTTGCTACTTTCAAATGTATATGTCAGATATTTCAGGAAGAGATTCAGGGGACTGGGGTGTGTCTGGCATTTGTAGAAACTCTCAACAGAGAAAACATTGTGAGTGAAGTCAAACGAGCAGCCCTCACAATTCAGGCCTCAACTGCAAGAGTGATTCTTATCTTTACCTGGTATACAGATGTGAGGGAACTGTTTCTGCAGCTAGCCAAGATAAATGTGAGAAACTGGAACAAACATGTATACTGACCTTCTAAATAATAAACCTGTTTACTGAACTTGTAAATAACATAAATTTAAGATAAATCATAGCTTCTTAAATTTATCTTGTGATCATGTTGTGCTGCAATCACTAGGTGACTGACAGACAGTTTCTGGCCAGTGAGGCTTGGAGCACCAGTGGTGACCTTCTTCTCCAAAGTCTTGTCATAAGTCAAGTGGCAAGTGGTGTTGTTGGTGTTGCCATTAGAAGTTCAACTATACCTGGCTTTGAAAATTATATCAGAAGTCTCAACCCATCTCACCGTCCTGATGACAAGTTCTTAAGAGAGTTTTGGGAAAAGGTGTTTGGTTGTAGTCCTGGAGCCACACCTTTATCTTCAAATGCCTCTTCACCACCTTCTCTTGCAAGCACATTGCTTCAAGAAGCTTCTCTACCTCTCTGCAATGGCACTGAGTCCCTAGAGGGAGTGCAGAATGACTTTACTGATGTCTCTCAACTACGGGTGACATATAATGTCTACCTTGCTGTTTATGCTGCAGCCCACGCCCTTCATAGTCTTCTGTCCTGTCCCAGTAAAAGCAACAACAGCTCCACTTGTGTTTCTCCAAAAAACAT